AATAAACACGTAAATAAAATACCGAATAGATGTCGTAACTTTGATTATATATTTTCTGACTCTTAATTAACAGACAACATGATCAGAATACTGCTATCGCAAAACTTGGAAAACACTTTCATAGCTATAATTTTTGGTTCCAAATATTAATATTAATAATTACCAACCATGGAGTCATGGACCGATCGAACGAGATTCTTATGAAACGGATACGAAGTAACGCGAGTATATTAATTACGTTACGTATTCCCATCCGCTTCGTGACAGTCGTCGGTGGAAATGCAGATAAGCGTGTTCGGTGGGCATTTGTCAAAATGTTGGTTCGTACGCCCGCGGGCTATCCCGATGATTATCTACGCGTTCATTACAATTACTTCTTCCTTAATTGCGCCGATGAAATTAATCGCCGAATAGATTTTTCTCCACCGTTGGCGTGCTCGTAGCTGAAGTGCTTTATTACGCGCGCCGCGTAGTCGGGAAACGTTGAAGCGATACATCGATAGCGAATGCATGAAATAATTAAGATAATGGAGATCGATCGCGGAGCCAAAGGCAACAGTAACTTTTAACATCGATGAAAATGCATTTGTGGGATTCATTGATACCTATGTATCTTATATATGGAAACGTAGGTTTAATTTGAGAAATAGTTGATTAGAAAAAGATTGAGAAGTTGGTTAAGTATTTCAGCTGGAAGCCTGATAAGCTAGCAAGCACCGGGAAATTGTGAAGGTGGTTCAAACGAAATTGATGGTATCTATAAGTCTACTTCAGGTGATTTACCTGCACAACTATTTATCAATTGGTATATTACGTTTCCTGCATCTAACGCACGCGGATAAGATATAAATAAGTGATTCTTCATCGACACGCAGCGTTCGTTCGCTCTATTGCTTGAGCCAACGAGGCACAGCCTTGCAGGAAACTCGCATCTACGTTGCATGTGCGTCGAAATGATGTATACCACGATTTGTTAAATTGTTATGATGTAACATGTACGCTTTGAATGGGTTGCAAACCAAAACATTGCTCGTACCGTATTGCCAACATTTTTATTCATCTTAGATATGAATGTCTCGTATCTAGAAATTATTTATTACTTATATCGAAGCAATTTAGTACTTATAAACTAGCGTTCCAAAATATTCCAACAACTATACATGAATCTCTCATAAGCAACATATCTATAATACCCTTATTTCTACTTAAAGAAAAATTACACTTCTTTCTATATAAATTTACATTCCTTTAAAGTCATTGCCTTCGATACATCTTCTTATAGTCGTAGCTATAGTTTCATTCGTACTTCATACAGAACTATGCCATTTTATTAGAAACAGAGAACAGTGTCTTTCTTTTTCGTTGATAAGTCACGATCAGCATATTTATTTAACAGAATAGCGTTTCTCTGAACTAAATAAGTCCGCGGAGTTTGAAAAACTTATAATCGATAGTACTCGTATAAAAAACTCGGAATGGAACGTCTTTCTTTAGGGTTTTAAAGTAGAAGACCGCCTCAAACACAAACAGGCGATTCGTGTTGCTTAAACCTCTGTTCGCCTAATTAAGGCTGCATCCTGTCTGATCGCAGGAGCTAATTCGACACGAGAAATGCGTGTGTTGCAGACTGAAATGCGGGTAGCTATTAATTACGTCGCTAATTGATCCGTTGATGAATCGCGAGGATCCAATTCAGAGAGCAGTTTAGGGAAAGAATTCAGAGAGCGGTTTGCTGGCCTTCTTCATGAATATCAGTACTAATCACTATTAATTTAGTTTGTCAACTCTTTTCCTCCAACAAGAAATTTAAATGAAAAAGGAATACCTTGTCTTAAAAATGAATATATACGTTCCAGTAAATTTAAGTTAATGTTAATGGTCGTTATGAAACTAAATAAAAATGACAAATGTCATTCCCAGAAAAGGTCAGCAACTGTATACTAACCGACACTTTCAAATAAGAAAATTGATTCGACCAAATGCGCGATTAAATATCAAGAAATGGCGATCATTTGCTCTTGACCTTTCTTCGTTTCAAGTATTTCCTGCGAAGAGATACAACAAATTGTTTGACTTATTTAATGCCAGCCGCAGCTGGACGTAACAATGATAGAATCATGATATTTACACGTTCGCTCTCTAATGAACACGTGTTATTTTACAGAATGGCAGAGGTCCTCTTCTGCTGGCAGCTGCTGGCGGTCATGTGGACGTCTGCGAGGCTCTGCTTCTTCGAGAAATCGACGTCAACGCTACAGACAATGTGAGTTATATTCAACAACTTCCCATCTCTTTCTCTCGTTTTATTATTTCCTGTGCGTGACGTCCCGACTCACAAATTACAGTTCGCTGAAATATCATTTATATGATTGCGGCATCATTAGAGAAAGCATACGAACGAACGGATACATTCAATTACCGACGATTGCTGTTCCAAATAGGAGGCTTCGTTAAGAAAATTCAATCGACATTCTGTCGCGCATAATCATTCGCTACTGTTTAGTCGATCATCTATGCGGGAGCGCAAGAATAACGTGAAAGAAATATTTGCGCGCAATCGATGGCCGATAACTGCTTCGCCGATCACTCGTGGCATCAGTTTTGCATATTAGGAATACTTAACGCTGAAATTATCAGGCCGATCAGTATTATTAATGTACTTTGAATTTCTTAAAATCACTTGCCTATTAATTACGGTTTAAAATTTGTGATTAATAATTTAGTCGAATTGGGCTCTGATTAAACAGATGTAGTCGATAGTTTCGGTGTTCATTTTTTACCTAAACGATTTGTATTTAATCCACGTAATCTTCGTAATACTTCTCTAGATCGGTATTTCGTACTATTTCGACTATATTAGGCGCATTATTATAATATGTACACATAAATTCTCGTTCTGTTTTCAAGTAAAAGATGGATACAATCAGGATAAAATTCCTTTCACTTTCAATTTACTCAAGATTCAAATTACTCTTTCATCACGCTGGCGCTTCATGGATCAATCATGGGATATTTTAGTTTGAGAAGCGAACCGTACTCCTTATTCGCCAAATATACATCGTTTTCCTAAAACGGAGTTTTAAGCGTGGCGAAGTTCAAAGTATAGCCGAAATGAAGACATGAAACGCGCATCTTGTACCACGGCTAACGGTTTCAGAAGTGTGGACGTTAAATTCTGAAGTGGTGAGCAACTCGAAAATTGGCTAATAATTCACAAGGCTGGGTGGGTTGTTCTGCGTGTCAGTTGCGCAATATATCAATACGAATATACCGGCTAATGAACGGTGCAAGGATAATTACCCCGTAATTATGGGTTTACGCAGTTGACGAAGGAAAGCGTGTTTCGGATCTTTTCGGTTTTATTTGACGTCTGCATCTGAAATACGTACAAACACAATTCCACGTGACGCTCTAACGCGCAAATACAGGATTGGCGACCGTGTCGACAGTTCTAAAATTAGATTCACAAGTCGTCACAAGCAGTCATTAATTGCAAGCGATGGGAGTGTACGAAGATGGTATTTAAAAATTCTCTTCCTGCGCGAATATCATGAATGAAAAGTAACGTGATATAAAATGCGTTGTAAATTGCTTTTAGATTGTTCGGGCTGTTTTTATCGTTTTTATAGATACTGACCGGAATAATGAAGGTGCTGTTATAGGAATCGTGAGAAAATAGGACGTAGAAATTATAGTTTTAGTTATGTATTCACTTCAAGGAATTCAAGGTGGAATAGAATGGGTGGGTCTTATTAGAATGTGTTTATTGAATCGTGAAAGTTGTCGAGCAGATATAATTTAGATTGTTAGTTTGAAATATAAATTGAAATTAAGGAATCAAAAGTTATAGGATCTAATTTTATTATTATAAATTTAACCATTCGTTCTGAAAGACACAAGGTGTCCAAAAAGAATATTCTCAAAGCCGCCATTGAATTCCAGTAGGAACGAGTCGAATCCTGTAAGGTAGAAAGAAAAAGAGTGTCACTTGGCGCGTATCTGATACTATAACGAGGGAAGACAATTATTCATTCGAAACGTCGAAAAAGCAATCGGGATCATCTTCGTTATCGCGTAGCGAGATCCGGCTAGACCCGAGCGTGGGTACAATGCGTCCATTGGTGCAGTGACTGACGGCCAATCTTCTCCCTCTAGCTGCAGAACACGTTTGGCTAGATCTTGCCAGCGAGGGGTACCAAGGTGCTTGTATTTAGAAACCGTATACACGCCGCTGGTGGCCGCGGAATATTCGTACTAAATTCCCGGGAATATCTTCTTGCGTTGTCGCATACTGCGACAGATATTGTATGAATTTTTTTTCAGGGTGGTGTGTAGCTATTTTCCCGCATACATCGCCAGTTTACCGGTCTCTTTAGTGGAAGAAGCAATTAACGTACGGTCGATTAATAATGCTGGGAATATTGTTGGATACCGAGACGTACCTCTTTTTATGCGTTCCCTGATTGTTGTTCCAGAGGGAGGAACTCGTTGCGAAATCCACGGAGGAGGGCAACTTTGTGGAGGGACGTTAATTCGGTGAAAAATTTGTTTTTACGGTAATGACGGGGAATTTAGGAGGAAGCTCGAAGATCGAGAGAGAAAGAGAGAGGGATTAAGGGATTAAGGTGAGAGAGTCACGTGGGAAAGTAAATGGCAACAGATGTCTTCTTTGGAGTGGTTCGTTTGGTATACGTGATGCATTTTTGTTAGCGGTATGTTATATCGGTCTTGCATTTTATGAAAAGGGAATACCGTTCTGCCGAAGATTAGACAGGATTATGTGTCATGAGGGTAGCATATAAAGTCTTAGTAGTTGAGAATGTTGAGAATTACTTACACTTATCAGAAAATATGATTATTTCATTTCTTAACGATGGATAAGTATGAGTAAGGGTGGTTTTTGCCTTCAATTTTTTCCCAATAGATTTTCCAAATCTTATATTCATAATATTACATTCTATTCCATTCATAATATTGCATTCTCTAAAATAATTAATTAATACATTATAGAAGCTTCTTAGAGGACTTCGCATAAAACCTCGTCTTAAATCAGAATATAATATGTTGAACTACAATAGATAATTTGGAGCTTAAATTTCGCAGGAATTTTTGTATACGCAACCGATTTATCTATTTGCAAGGTATTTAGGGGGTGCGTAACATAGATATCGATAATCGTTAAAATAAGAACCACCCTGACGCTTAGCGAACACGAACATTTCCGATTAAGAGATGAATTGTTATCGTCGGACGGTTAAAGAACGGATCTTTCACCTCGTGTCAATAGCTCTTAGCCTCAGCTTTTTACCACGGGGAACAGTATCAACGTATGGTGTCCGACGGTGGCGGACCTTTTGTCTGCATAAGGCAATCCAGTGAAATGCAGCGCTGCACCGAACGCAGCCACGGTATCTGCAAATGAAAGTTCGATATTTATTGGTGACCAAGGCAGAAATGCGCAGCGGTTCCCTGTCTATGCCCTTTTCGAACCGTTTCCACGTGCGCAGCTGAGATTATGGAAACGCGCAGACATTATGCGCGCGCTTCCAAGGAAGCTCGGACGGGTTTTTCGATTCGTGGAATGATGAACTCCGAGCTTCGCGACAGGTCGAGCGTTTAAGGTCGTCGATAAGATATCTTGATCGATATCTCGCTTTCTCGAATTTTCTTGAACGTGACTTTTAAGGTAAATTTTTAAGTAATTTTGGAACTTCTATATCTACGTTTTCAGTTTCAATGTAGCTTTTACAAGTAAAATATTCATTTGAAATCTATTATAAAATGCAACGATTAAAACAATTTATGAAATATTGCTCCAAGGACAGTGATCCACTGAGAATATCCTTTTTAAAAGGCGTCAAACGGTACGCTTTACTCGTGAAAATTCTCCTGTACCGCAGAAAACTAATCTTTCAGGACTTGCTACCTCAAGCGTTCCGTCATAAATCTCCGACGGGATAAAGTATTACGTCAATTTAGAAAGCTCCGCGGTTCTATCGGGAATATCAGACCAAAGTACCACCAGCAACGCCGCGCAAACGAAAGCACGCCGCGAACACCGACGAATCGTAAATTTCATGGTTGTAAATGCCATTGAAGCGTTTCCTTTTATACTTCCTTTATGGCGCGAGTATGCATGCGCAGCTCGTTTGCAAAATCCTTGGCACGGTGCACCGTCGGGACTACCCTCGGGCATTCCACAATTCCGTTAATCTGTAACAAATCATTCTATTTTTTTTATTTTTATCTAGCCATCGAGAACTTGATCTGTGATAATTGAACAATTTATGCAGAACTAACAGACATGATTCATTATTTGCACGCGACTTTATATGTACATGTATAGTCGTGCGTCGTGATAGGTGCGTGGGGTTAAATAGACGTACGCTATTTTTTCATCTTCAATATCTGGGTGACTAGTTTATTATTCGATGACATCAGATTCTTTAATATTTATGAAGGTACCCTGGAAAATATTGTTCGAGATTTAATGACGATATATTTACAGCAAAAAGTAATTTCGAATATGGAGATAGTTGTACTTGAACAATTTATGAAGAAGTAACATACGTGATTCATTATCTTCCTATTATTTAAACGATCTAATATTCCCGTCCAAACAAAATTCCACCTAGGAAACGCTTCGTAAAAATTCAAACACGACTAAAACAGCTCCATCTCATAGGCGTAGTCACAAAGAAAATAAGCTCACAATTTATCGCGTCCACTAAAGGCGTAACATAATTGGAGAACCTGAAATATTTTAACAAAAAAAAAAAAAGAGTGTAGGATCGTGGTGTTATTTAAGGACCAGACCCCCGGTCACCCAATATGTTTCGTAAGCTTCTTCCATTCGCTCGGACCTCGTGAGTCTCGTAAGTATCGTCCTATCCGAGTCGAATCTAAAAGGCGACGCGACGCTGGATAAATCCGATAAATTTCGACGCGTAGCAGCTGGCAGGACGCGTTAGATAAACTGGTCGTCGTCCATGCTTGACGACTTCTATGGGGTCCCTTCGATTCTTCCTTCTCCTCAGGGAAGATTTATACGCGGCTGGCGCGTTTTTGAAACATTCTGCCAGGAGGAATTTGGCACACCGCGTGCATTATAGTTCAGGGCCGATGTCGGAAGGTCTGTAATTATGAGAGGCCTGAAAATAGCTTTTTAAAAGAACATAGGCGTCCGTTGGATGGTTCGTTCCTTTTTCAAACCGGATTTCATCTGTCGGGGATGCTTCAGTCGGGGTATCTTAAACAGAAAGGCGATTATCATACGCGGTTAGGTCTGAAAGTTCAGGATCCGCCCAACTGTGAAAGGACTTTCACGGAGTAAAAAAACTGAGGAATGTTTTTTTGGTGTTATTTTATTTTGATGTATCTGTCACGAGTTGAGGACTATCGTATATACCATGGCGTATTAATTTCTGGACAGATATATTTTTCGCGGGCGGTAAAAGTATTTTTATCTTAGATCTCTATATTCTATATATTCTTAAACATTCTGTTTAAATTTATATTTCAGATCTGATTCGCACGAACATTCGGTTTCTATCGTAATGTACCGTGGAACGACCTGCTTAAATCGTTTAGGATTATGTATCGCCCATCACCTAAGTTAATAAGATCTTTCCAATCGGTTTCCAATTTATTATTAGATAATCCGTGGATATATTTCTTCACACGGGACTGATCTTTCACCCCGCAATATACCATGTGGCGCCGTTATCTCTCTGCCACTCCATAAAATTGTCGTACAACGAGTTGCGCAACGCGAGTAGGGGTACGAATCTTCTCTTTCGCAGTAATAAAACGTACTGGAAACATCCTTCGCGTACTTTCTCCGTAATTATACGACGGCGCGTGAAGACGAATAAACTGGCGAAGGTAGCGGTAGATCGGTAGCTTATTACAGAACCATAGGGAACCAGTGTTCATCAGCGTTCATCAGGGTTCACCGGCGTTATCGAGACGAGATTTCGCGTACTTTTAACTGGCTAATCTCTCTCGTGTATCTACCAGGAAAGTGCCGGTCTAAGGTCTAATTATCAACCGTCGTTGCCAGTCATTTACAACGAACACGCTGTTATTAACCAATCGCACGCCCATTTGATATATTGTTTCGCATTTCCTAGGTTCTTTCTTTTTTTCTTTTTTTTTCTACTCGGTTCAGTTCTGATAACACGCGAAGATTACGCAGGAAAATGTGATCCCGGTAATGAGTTTGACGGTTTTCACTTTTGCGCTTGTGATATAACAGGTCTTGACAGTTTTGTGGTTTGAGTTGTGAATCTACGAGAGTGCGCACGTATGCGATATTATGTAAAACGTCAGCAATAACGTGCATGTTACATTCTTCGGAAGATAAGGCATAAGATGAATGTGTCTATCAGCGACCAGTTATGTGGTTTATTAATATTATTTTGATATATCGAGCGATATATTGATTTGTAGAAGCAAAAGCATTTATTCATTGTTTCAAATGTTAATCTTTGTTAGTTCATGAAATAGATATTTCTGAAGATATACATTTTACGATACGTATATACGTAAAATATCTTACTCGCGTTAACAAGAACGATCTGCATAATAGTAAAATAGAAAAAAAAACATGAATATCTTTCGTAAATATCGATACCAAACGAACAGCCTTTGCGAGAAATATGAATCTTAATGATCGGCAAATGTCTAAAAAGCACGATCATTTGCTGTATTAGCAAAAATATAAGTAACCAGAATTATCTCGAAGGGATGTTCTTACCCTTAAAACGATTTTTAAGCCAAAAATGGAAAATAGCGCTGACTGATTAGTTTCTCATAAACTTCATTTCCGCAAAAGTTCCAATTTTTCGGAGTACACCAATCGCCAAACTACCCTTGTTAGTTTACGGAACGATCGCAGGAAAATTCTCGAACAAACATTGTCCAACATCGCGTATACGCGAGGAAGTAAACTATCCAAACTATCAGCGGTTGGCGGACTTACGCCGCGGCCATGTCCCTATGTATATGTATGCGTTAGCGCACGCCTGGAACAATGATACCAGTTTGACTGGTGTGCTTCTCCCACTCCTCGAGTGCAGCATGCACTGTATCGCGATCCGATGCACTCGCTCGAATCCGTTGGATCGTTGTAGGAGCAGGGTCCAGGGTATCTCGTCGATTCCAGCTTCCAGCTGCTGGGAGGAAACTGATAAGTCCCATTGACACGCGTCGGAATTTCACTTGGCCGCTTCAGTGCGACTCGAAAACGGCAAGAAGCTAATCGTTCCGATACGAGTCGTTGAGAATGGCTATCCGACGGGGTTGTAAAGTACCTAAGCGAGTGCTGAGCGCTGCGCCATTTTGTTTCGGAATTCTTTGGAAGCTGGATGGAAAGTAGAAACAAGTGTGTTAAAATCGGCGGTGCATCTAAGGGAGCAAGGAGTTGTAGGGGTTAGAATGATAAAATTGTAGGATTTTCTAAAGACACACGCGGAATTAATTTCTACACTTAATATGCAGGCTATTGATTCTAACACATTTATCTTTGTTTTTCGTATTCCTATCATTTTTATATTTCAAGCCCTTGAAACCTCCTCCATCTTTGATTCTGATACATTCGTCTCCATTTTTCATACCTTTACAATTTTATGATTCTCCTACTCCCACTATTATACAAACTCTTCCTCCCTTATGTAAAAACCAAAGACGAATAATGTAAGTAGCAGAATCCAGTTGCAGTATAATCTACTTGGAAATAGTATTCCATTATAACGTATCTTCTTCTCTCTCAAGTGTACCACGAAAAAGAAGCGACGATCTCAGAAACCATCTTCGTTAAAGATACGATAATAGAGGAAACCGGATCGCCATTTACGATGCCCTTTTCCTGGGCTCCTTTAACGCACCCTATTCAACTGGCTTCTTTACACCCCCATTAGGCAGCTATTCCCAGCGAGTTGTATCGAAACGATTAGCTTCTTGCCATTCTCGAGTTGTTCGAAGTGTGTATTTAAACAAGTGTCGATGGAACTTATCAGTTCCATGCATAATAGTAATTATTCAACTTGTCGATGAAAATCCCAATAACGTATACGAGAAACTGAAACAGTGGAACTACTTTTTTTCTCTCTTTGGAAAGTCTCAGTATTTTAAACAACAAGAATTGTTACGTTTGTGAGTATCTGTTAGGGGTAGGAATTAATTCTGTGCCTTTCTAAGGTGAACTTAACACCTGTTTAAAAGTAAAAACTATAAAACTATAAATAAATTGTCGTATTTATTGGATTAAGAACTTGCAATTAGAAGGTTGGTAATTTAACATACCATAATGACGATTAAATATCTTTACTTATCCTATACTCACATACGATTGAATGTAAAGTCACGGAATTAATTTCCACGCCTAGTAAAATACATGCTTCTTCTTGAACTGAAGAAACTCGCACTACTTCTGTTTAAAAGCTCGTTTACTTCGTATTAGTCGCACAGCTAACGAGAACTTTAATGGACGATGTATGTCTTATTCATCCCTCGGTCGAGAATGATTGCCCAATGGCAGCGTATAATCGAAAATATGAAGTTATAGAGTTCCCCGTTGATACGCGGATGACAGTAAGATTTATTGTGTTCGAAGAGGCTGGCCATCGCGAAATAACCTAATTTTGAGTCTCTCGGTGAAACAAACCGTTCGAGCGATGTAAGAGAGCGAATAGGATTATCGTAAATCTGTTTCAAAGTTGTCACGCTTTCGGTTTTCGTCGATCGGGTAGCGCGAAGGATACGAATGTTTTAATTAGGAGAAAGTGCAAAGGCCTCGGGTTAAATGGGCCATCGGGGCGTCGACTTCTGTCTTAACGTGATCGCCTTAGTCGTTCTTTCGAAAACGTTCGCACTACTTTCTGATGAACTTTCTGAAAATCGTGTTCTCCTAACTAAAGAAATGACTAATTTATTAAACGAATAGTGAAACCCGAGGATCATCGTAAAGATGTTGATTTGAAGAGATACGGTAAGAAATGCAACGATTGAATTATGTTCATTTACTACCCACAATAAACAGACTATAAAAATGTGGACTCTAGATCATAGATCAAGAACACTTTCTATTCTGGTCTGTTAAATTACGAGTTTCGAGCAATTTCTATTGTCTTCCTAATAACTTCGCCCTACAAAGTATGCGCCTTTATGTTCACTTCCTCCGAAGCAGTGTTTCTCAAACTTGCTGATAGCTGCCTTCGAACTTCCAGTAAACAAATTTTCCTGTTGTTAATAGTAAAAACATGTCACAATTCGTTCAATGAAATTTTGTTAAAATTTGATTAAAATTCAATATTATCGAATAATTATTTGAATAGTTTCCTTTTAGAATATTTTAATCCTCTTACACGATGGTTATTAAAGCGATCCTTTATTCTGGAAAGCTGAATTTAAAAGTTTTCCTTTGTGGAGGTAGGTAGGCGAAGATTGAGAAGCCCTTCCTCTAGACTATTATGCCTCGTAAACGCTGAAAATCGCAGCTATTGTAAATTGCACCAGCGGTGGATGCATAGTGGATGTATACCGTCGTGGTACAGGATTCGCCCGTTTCCCAAGAGCGAACCGCATCGAGAGATCGATCACTCTTTATGTGGAGCATCGTTGCAACGATCTTCGTGCATCGTCGGTCGTCTATTGTGCATCTGCGATGCGGTTCGATGCAACACCGGATAACAGCAGTGCACCGACATAGGTCCACGGATAAAAACGAGAAACCACGTGCAATCGTAATTGAAGATTGGACACGGAACAGCACGTTAATTGTACCTTTATATCTCCGCGTTGTTGGCGTTATCGCGCATTAGTTTCTTTGACAACCATGTGGAGGCAGCTTGTCCTCCCTCCCATGGACATCCTTTGATTCTCAGGTGTTTCTAACAGGGTCGGTATAGAATTGACGAGCCCTGGGAACTTGTAGCTGGAGCACCTCAGAAAATAAGGAAGGCTGATTTATTCTTCTTCTCGGGGACACCTTCGGGATCTCAGGTGCGTTTCTAATAGGGACGTTAGAGTTGTTAGAGTTTTAGAGAGGGATTGATGAATTTCAAGGATGTTTGACTGAAAGAAAAAAAAAAAAGATTCAAGTTATTTGTCTGTATTCTTCTTCTCAGGGGTACTTTTTGATTTTGAGATGTTTTTCCAATAGGGTTCTTATTGAATTAACGAGTTCTGAGAATTTTGGTCAAAGCATCTCAAAAAAAAAAAAGGCTCAGGACTGCTTACTTTTATTAATCTCTCCAGGTGCACCTTCTGAGTCTCAGGAGTGCTTGCAATCAGTAGACTGTGGATTTACAGGGAAAATTTATATCTTTATAGATTCAAGGAACAGTATTACTGCGTCTTTCGACCCAGATCATGCACTCGAACTCATTAGCTAGGCTCACCTGGTAGAACCTGCTGTAGACGTGACGCTATTAATCGTTTGGACGGTTTTCAATTACTTAGTAGTTTGTTAGTACATAATCTGTTCGAAGGGACTGTTAGAATGATGGATATCATCACGCCTACGGTCGGATCTGCTGGATGAGTCTTACTGGTAAGTCTAGCTAGTATGTTTGATTGTAACGCTATTAACAGCTATTAATTGTTTGCTGTTCTTGTGTGCATTTTAAAATATTTCATCATATAGCTATATTAGATGTGTCGTCGATTTAACAAATATGAATGTACAGTCAATGAATCCGTACAATGTAATTGCTCAGATTTTTCACGAGGGTTAAATAACAGTCTCAAAACATTGAGAAATTAGTATTATAATAATCTATTCGATATAGTTCAATAACAAACCATTCCATTGGTTTATAATAAATATTTCAATTAAATGCGAGAATTATGGCAGAAAGTAGTCGACCCTCGAAACAGGCTCAAGCAATTATATTTATCACGCAAGAATTTTAAACTACTCGATAAGGTCTGAGAAATCTAATTAAGTTGTTAATAATCAGCATCTACAGATATATGTACTGAAAGAGTGCTCCTCGAAGCTCGTTTGTTATGTTCGTTTAATTATCTTCATTCACCACATACCCGTGCTAACGATGGACAAGTTTCTCGCAGCCCTCGTGCAGGAATTTCGCACTTTGTCGCTCTAACCAGGTCCTGACAGTCCTTTTCATCTCTCCATTATGAAATAGCGATTAAGAAGAGTTCAGAACCGCATGAGAATGTAATTTTGCTACAGCATGACAACGCTGTGTCTGATGCTTATGGATCTCATCTCGTTTGCCTTAAAGCGAAGAAAATATCAAATATTAGGTGTAGAAGTTACCTCCGTGTCTTTACATTCAATCGTTTATAACTGTGTGTGTGTGCGTGCGTGTGTGTGTGTGTTACGTTAAATAATAAGGACACATAAAGATTGCTTCAACATTTAGTTTTTCAGCATTATGTTCGCTCTT